CCTTTTAAAAATACAGTGAAGGGTCTTAATTACTAAGTGTAACTGCTCACAACTGGGGAACTCCCCATAACAGATGCCAAACCATCTTCCTGCGATGAGAGTTTTTCTTTCGTATTCTCCTTTACAGGCTTTACATTTGAAACATTTTGAGTCATCGGAATCGGAGTAGCTTCTAAATCAATTAGAGGTTGGAAGCGATTTTGGGTTTCCACTGCAAAGCATTGCTCGGCATGGTCACTCCCTCCTCCATTCCGGTGTGGCACCAACCTTGATAGTTTTGGTTTAGGGGATGATAGGGGCTCGTCAAAGTCTCTCAAGCGTTTTTCTGACCCATGCTTTCCTCAGGCCAGAGATTATACGATTCTTAAAATAACATAACACTTAACACGCAATTAAGATAATGGCGTTCTCAACTCCTTTAGCAGCTAAAGCCAGCCCGCTGATATGAGAGAAACAAAGAGCGGCTTGCAGCAGTCTGGAGCAGGGCCAAATCTCTCAAAGAGTTTCCAAGGTATGCGGCTGCAGCAATTATAAAATACTTCAAAAACTGACTGAGTCAGTTGAGATAAAAGTATAAAAGATTAAAAAAGATTAAAAGAAGTCCGAAGAGCACCGGTAAGCGCGTCTTACCTCGGCGCCATGTTGGCTCCTCGACTGTGGAGGCCAATTCTGGATCCACACGTCCTTCCACAGTGGGGGCACCAGTTTCTGGGTGGGAGTTGACCCTGGTGTGGATTTGCCAAGTGTGCCTTCCTCTTGGCACGCTTCTCCCTTGCGTCCTGAGTTCGAGTGTCTTCAAAGCCCATGGCACCTTTGGTAAAGGCTGTTCTCCAGTTGGAGTGCTTGCAGGCTAGTGTTTCTCAATTGTTTGTGTTTATACTACATTTTTAAAGCAGACTCTTCTTAATCTTAACCCCAATTACTAAGCCTGAGTAGCACCCACCTTTCCAAATCGCTGGAGATTCCCTTTCACAACGTGATAAAAAAAATATTTTAATCATTTGAGTGATTTCTGTAGGATCCAAAATCCCTAGATGGGCTATGACTTCTGGGCAGAAATGACATTCCCAGTTCGTATGCAAAACAGGTGCTGTACACTTGTCCGCTGGCATTAATTCAGAATTTGACCTATTAATCATACGCCCTGAAACTCTAACAAATCCATTCATTAATCTGATTAATTCCAGTGTGCCCATTTCAAGTCCGCTAATAAACAGTAGCAAGCTATCTGCATACAGAGATAGTTGAAATCCCACCTTCTCAAAAGCGTAAATCTCCCTGCTCTGTCCAATACTGCAAGCTGGTGGTTCCAAACCAAAGCCTAATAAGCCTTGTTCCTCTCTCTAAACTAAATTGGAGGATAATGGAGCATAGGGATCCTGTTTCTGGCCCCGTCCCATGAATGGCAGGTGCAGAGGGGAAAATATGTGCAACATAAGCAAAACAGATGCAAATCTGCTCAATTTGCCTAATGCATACAGGTGGCAGGGAAGTCACACTTTCTGGGTGCAGAATTTACATTAAAAAACCCAAAAAAGAGAGGATTACACACTCCACTGGCATGTGGTCTCCACCACTGCCTGTGTGCCGTCCTCCTAAGCTCATCTCTTGGCTGTAAATGCCACATCTCACCCGAAAGCGATCAGCAGACGAGCAAAGCCCTCTCCGAACAAATGCAAAGAGCTAAAAATAGCCAGGTTTTTTCCTCCAAACACCCCTTCTCTGAAGATAACATGTTTGTGACGATTCGGGTGAGGTCAGACCCCATCTTTCTTTCCTTCTCAGCCACACAGCACTGCAGGGGGACACTTATCTCCCGCCACCAGCCCTCCCCAGAAACAGCACACCCCACCCCCTCCATGTTTGCAGCAGGGCCCTCGCATTGCATTTCCACAGTGCACAGCAGGCGCAAGGAAGCAGCTGCAGCCGCGTCGGCTGATGCTCTGAGATCTGAGCCAAAATTGATCCAAAGACATTTCGCTTTTCGTTCTTCCTCCTGCCCCCAACCTAGAACAGGAAGACGACTTGGCAGACTACAAACACACGCACTCACAAGCCAACACCTAGGGGCCGAAGTCTCTAGTGCCCCCCAATATTTGAAGAGTCTGTCCTCCAAGTTGATAAATTCTTTCAAAACATAACACCATCCTACAGATAAGTGATGAAATACGCCACCCTACCCTGGAAGCTGATGCTTAGGCAATGCATACAAAATAACAATCAAATAGGCATTCCTGAAACCCATGACTGGAATGTAGGAACTGAGGGGTATATAACCTGTTCAATAGGAACAGACCCAGCAGGAATTTTATGCCATTTGTAGCAGCATTATGTGGGA